GCATTAGTATGTACTACCATTCCAGCTACTTTTGAAATTCTCTGCCTCTCAGGGAGTAATTTGGTGTGCTGAGGGAAGAGGTGAGAGGGGGGGGGGGTCGATTTTTACATTATAAACTCCAAAACTGTACATCTGTCTCTGTCAGCAGTCTTTCTTTGTCGAACATTACACGAGTACCAGTGAGCCAGTTTACTTTATATGTTTTTAAGGTTAGAAGAAAATTGTGTAAATGCTGTTGGAAAATATAAGAAAGGATGATAGAAAAGATAAAAAAGGGTGATAGAAAAGATAAAAAGGAAGGACGTGGAAAAGAAATATTAAATTAGGTAAGAAATGTTTCGGCCCATTAAGTCATATAAGAAATGTTTCGGTCCAGCTTACTTTATATGTATGTTGTTTTTTTTAAAGGAAAAATTTTGCAGCTAACCGAAGAAACATTTTTGAATGCGGAAAAAACCGAGCTGGATGCGCATTTTGAAAATCTATTGCAACGAGCCGATAAAACGGAAGAACATACGAAACGATTACTTTCTGCCATGGAAAGTTATTTGCAGCCAAATCCAAGTAAGCATAGCAGTTCGATGCTTTAATCATAGTTGTTGTTTTATCGTTGAAGCGGCTAGCAGCAAATTCTCCATTCTTCTCTATTTTGAGCATCTCTCATCCACATAATTCCATATAGCCGTTCAAGCCGGTCCTTATACTGCACTGAATGCCTTTCCTTTTTTTCTTTTTTTTGAGTGATTGTCATACATTGTTAAAAGAACATAGGGAAGACCGTCAATGCGTTTAAAAATGACCCAGTTTGCATGGCCATTTTTTGCCACTTTATTTGCTGGAAATGCCTGGAACAATTGTAATTCATAGTTTTTTTTTCTTCCAGCTCCGCCATCTGACCAATGCCATTTTCACTTTTGGTCAGCCTGCTGGTGAACTTGATGTGTTCGTTTCGTTCCTAAAAGAATTATCAGCTTAATTGTTTTTCCCATAAAGCCAGTTAAAGTCAGGCTTACCCCATTCCGAGATGTTTTTGGTGTATATATGTAGGCATCACTGGCAGATCGAAGGAG